AAGGTTAAGTAGTATAAGTATCATTGTCCTTCATTTTGAACATGATGAAACTGAGCTCAGAGGCTTAAGTGACTTGACCTAAACACACAGTATCGGAGTGGAACACAAATCCATTTTTCCTCACTGCAAGTCTAGTAACCTTTCCTCTCCGCCAATATTTTTTGAGGTCCATACTTGTGATTTCATCAGGGTAGGAAATTTCAGGTTATGATATGAATTAATAATTGAATCATAAAACTAAGACATGATTTATTTCATTCATATGTAGTCTAGTCCAAATATTGATATAAAGTATAGGAAAAAAAGAAAATATTGAATAGTTTTTTAAACAATGAAACTATTATATGCCATTTTTATAGTAAAACTAGTTTTTCTTTATTGAGATTTTTCACATTTTATGTTTTCATCTCCCCCATATTGTCTTCATCTCCATGCTTTCTTTTTGCTCTCTAAATATCTCAGAAAGGAAATATGTGTGATTTAGTTGATGATTCATTTTATTTCCTTATGTTTGCCCAGCTCTGTACTATGTACTATATGAAATAATGTTCTGCTTTTAAAGAAGTGACAGTTTTTTGGTAGGGAAATGAGACATATTTCTATGTATACAACACACTCTATTAATAAGGTGATAAATGAAATATAATCATGTGTATCTATAGGAGTAGGTACTATGGGGGTAGTTACAATAATAAAATGTTTGCTGAAAATAAGAGAATGCTTTCTCAATCACTCTTCAAACAAACCTTTGACTAGGCATGATGATATCCTCCTGAGTATACTCCTATAATCTCAGTTATCAGAGAAGTCAGGCCTGGTGGATCGCTTGAGCTCAGGAGTTCTGAGCTACAGTGGACTATGTAGATCCACATAAAGCTCGGCATCAATATGATGATCCCTCAGGAGTGAGGGGTGGGGGTCATTAAATTGCTCATCCAGGGGCAAACTATCGTAGGCCAAAAACAGTGCTGGTCAACTCTGCTGTGCTGATAAGTAGTGGGATTGACTCATGCATAGCTTGGGCTTCTCCTAATTCCCAGGCTAATAAAGATAGAAACACTCACTCTTAAACATCAATAAAGAAACAGGCCTTCAGAATCCCCACCAAGGGAAAAATTATATTTCTAGATGCAGGGGGTCTGGGTTTTTCTGATGAGCATTTATTCATACATTCTAGCAGTTTAGAATATATTTGAATAGTTCTCTTATTATTTTTAGTTATATATCCAGCAAACATTGGGATGGTGATAATGGTAGAGAGGGTAGAATTATGTGAATAAATCAGGTCATTGTTCATGTTGTAATTCAAGTTTATCTACAAATGTAAAAGCCAAGTTGCCTGAAAAGAATTGATATTTAGAGTCATTCCTCCTCTTAATAGGTTAATCTAGTTTTCCCCTAAAAGTCAACAAAGTCAAGGCTTGATTAGCCTAGGTATGGGGCAAGACTCAAGCTTTGGCCTCTCTTGATCAGCAACTTCCTGGCTGCCTCTGGTCATATTGACATAGCTTCCTTGCCATCTCAGGACATAAAAAAGGCCCACTCATGTGGAGTCATTGCCCTTCAGACTTGACAAATGTTCCAAGATGATGGAGGTCATCACACTGTGCCTTGATGACCCTCTGCACTTCCATATGGAAGATGAGGGGAGCCATGTTACTGAGCTAAGTGAATCCTCATTGAACATCTTTTTTATGTTGGTGCTAAATAAACCTTCCTTTGTCAACTGTTCAGTGACCCAAGAGTACCTCATTTCATCCCAGCATTGAACCTGAACTCACCGAATGGTAGCCTGAATCGGCCTGTCCTCTAACAACCTGACTTTCCCCGGTTCCTTGAGCTTTACCTTACATGTAATGTTTTAAAAATCCTCCTGGTGGCTCCAGATGATGAAATAGATTGTACCTAGAGTTCAAGAGATCACAGATGTAGAAGTGGAGGGGATTCCAGAGGCTATCTAATCCAAGGATCTCATTTTGTGACTGTGGAAGCAGGGCTAAGGTAACTTAAGTGAAATGTTAGAGGTTGGATTTAAATCCTGGTTCTCATTCCTTTTTCTACTGTACAACTAAGAACCAAATCACTGAGAATTTCAATTAGTTTTCTCAGGAAAAATAAGCCATCTAGAGAACTCAAGTTGAAACTCAAGTTAATTCAGGTGTAATCCCAGTTTGGTGGAAACATTTACTAGTCACAATTAGAGAAGCTGATGTCATTTCAGGTGACAGCTGAGAAAGACTTGTAATCCGTGATTGACTTGAGAAGAAGGAAACATTCTGACAGCAGGCATAGGAGCAGGACAAAGCAGTCTTAGGGTCAGAATCAGTGGTCTGATTTGCTGAATTGACTTTTAGCTAAAGTATCTTCTAATTTCAGGCTGATATGAGATTAGACATACATAAATGGTATCATGACTCCATGGTCCTGTGAAAGATTTAGAGTGGCTGGCACTGAAAGAAGTTAGAAATAAGGCCTGTTTTGAGCAATGTAACCAATAATGATTTGACTGTTTTTTTTGAAAGTGATGAGAAATCTTAAATAATAGTAGCAGAACATTTTAATCATTTAATTGTTCAGTGGTCTATACAAAACAGTTGAACAATCAATCAATAAACATGTATTAAGAGCTACTATGTTCCAGGCCCTGTGCTAAGTCTTGGGGATGTAAACAGAGGCAAAAGTTAATCTTTGCCCTCAAGGAGCTTGCAATCTACTGGAAGAGGCAGCATGCAAACAAATATATACTAAGTAAGCTATGTTCAGGGTAAATATGAAATAAAAGAGGGAAGCCACTAGCATGAAGAAGATTTCAAGGCTTCCTACAGAAGGTGAGATTTTAGTTGGGAAGTCTGTAAGTGGAGGAGGGAGAGTATTCCATATCTGGAGAACAGCTAGAGCAAATTCCCAGAGCCAAGAGATGGAGTGTTTTGTTTGTGGAACAGCTAGGAGGCTGGTGTCACTGGATCAAAGAGTACATGATCGAGAGTAAGGTGTAAGTAGGCTGGAAAGGTGGAAGGGGGCTACGGTATGAAGGGCTTTGAATGTTGGAATGGAGGGAGAGTTGAGACAAGTAGACTATCCCCAAGTTATTGCAGTAATCCAGTTATGAAGTGATGAGGGTTTGCACTAGAGTGGAAGCAGTGTCAGAGAAGAGAAAGGGGGCATATTTGAGAGATATTGTAAAGGTGAAATTGACAGGCCTTGGCAACAGATTGGATATGAGGGGGCAGTGTGTGTGTGTGTGTGTGTGTGTGTGTGTGTGTGTGTGTGTGTGTGTGTGTGTGAAGACAGAGAAAGACAGAGACAGAGAGAGAGACAGATAGGGAGAGAGAGAGAGAGAGAGACAGTAAGGAGCCTAGGCTGACTCCTAGGTTGTTAATCTGAGGACTGAGAGAATGTGTTGCCCTTTACAATAATAGGGGGGAGGTTTAGGGGAAAAGATAGTGAATTCTGTTTGGGACAATTTAACTTTAAGATGCCTACAGGACATTCAGTTTAAGATATCTAAAAGGCAATTGGAGATGTGAGACTGGAAGTCAGCAGAGAGAATGAACCAGGAAAGGTAGATTTGAGAATCATTAGCATAGAAATTGTAATTAAATCTATGGGAGCTGATGAGATCACCAAGTAAAGTGTTATCCAGGGAGAAGAGGAGATGGACCAGGACAGAACCCTGAAAGACACTTGTGGTTAGAGGGCATGATCTGGAAGAGGATCCAGCAAAATATACACAGAAGGAGCAGTCAGACAGAAAGGAGGAGAACAAGGAGACATGTAGCCCAAAAACTTAGAGAAAAGAATATTAAGGAGGAGAGAGTAGTTGTTGTTGTTTGTCCTTTGTTCTCAAAGAGGACCATGACATTGGGAAGGTGATGTCATGAGTTGCAAGTGAATTGGATTTAAGTGAGGCAGGGCTGTGCAAAATCACCAGCCTCACTTCCTTCTCTAGAGCCATCTGGGTCCAGGAGCAAGACATTGATCAGGGAGAGGGCCCTAGATACAGTGGGAGACCTTGGCCTTTTTAAGCTAAGGTCTTTCCCAGGTAGAGGCAATGCCCATTCAGTGATTAAGGCTAGGTAAGAAAGAGGCAACGAATGGCCTCTTTACCTAGTCTCCCCCCCCCCCCAATAATTCAGTTTGGGAGGGGAAGACCCTCCGTGTTTCTGGCCAAAATAGAAACAATTGCTATTTACACTCACTCTGAACCATCAGAGAGAGTTATCTACAACGTGAAAAGGCTTTAGAGAGGTCAAGGAGAATGAGGATTGAATAAAGACCATTGTATTTGGCAGCTAAGAGATCATTAGAAACTTTGGAAAGAGCAATTTTGGTGGAATGATAAGGTCAGCAGCCAGATTGTAAAAGGTTAAGAAGAGAGTGAAAGGAGAGAAAGTGGAGGCACTTTGTCAAGTTTAGCTATAAAGGGTATGTAGAATTATAGTTAGCAAAGACGGAAAGATCAAGTGAGGGTTTCTTCCTGACGGGGGAGACATGAACATGTTTGGACCCAGTAGAAAGAGAATTATCCTTACCTTTACTTCAAGGACTTCTAACCAGCATATTAGGAGTGAAGAACTTTTGGAAACCCAAGCCTTCCCTCATCCTGCCAGGCAGAGACTTGCTTACCCTGGCAAGTCCAGAAGGCCCACAGTATTGCTATATTCTTATCTGTAAAGAGAGCACTTCAAATTCTAGAGCTGTTTCAAAATTTCAGAAGCACCAACTTTATTTAGAAATTATTAAAACTCAATAAACCTACTCTCTTTCTTTTGGAACTTGTTGAATATAGCTGAATTACATACAACTTGGAATGATAATTGCTAAACAATCAGCACCACGAGTAAGCAACATTTACGATGCTGTGGCTGCTCTGATGTACCACATATCATTACTTTCCTGTTTTTATTGAATAAAATTCAACATTTGTGTTGTGTTCTTTTGGATACTTGCCTATCAAATGACAGTTGTTGGTGGTTATGTTTCTTTCTCTCTCTCTCCAGGTGGTTCACCAATCCAACCACAGTCAATGCCTTTTATAGTGCGTCTACCAACCAGATTAGTAAGTATTGACTCCTGGATTTCTGTTATTTATTTGGAAAGCAACATCACTGAAATGCATCTGTCATTATCACACATTTTTGGAGCATGTTTTTCAAAGAAAGGTACAGATATTGTGGGGAGGATGTTGGGTCCTGTAGCCATATGCTTATCTCACTCCATCTCTCTCAACTTACATCAAAGGCAGTTTCCTGAGTTTTATGACTTCCTAAACATCAACACTTGCACAAAAATCTCAAAGGAAATGAAATCATTGAAACAAAGTTAATTTTAACTTATTTTTAAAAAAAGTTTATTTTATTTTTAGTTGCAAATTCTCTCCCCCCTCCACTCCCTTTTCCACCCATTGAGAATGTAAGAAAAACAATACTCATTACATATATATGTATATGCATAAAATGAAAAACATATTTATATACAATGCAAATATATATTGCATTATATATATCGTGCAAAACACAATTCTGTATTAACCAAGTTCTGAAAAAAAAGAAAGGGAAAAATATGCTTTAATATGCACAACCCTCAGTTCTTTATCTGGAGGTGGATAGTATTTTTTTCATCATGAGTAGAATTGTGGTGGATCATTTTATCGATCAGAGCTACTAAGTCTTTCACAGTTGATTTTCCTTACAATATTGCTGTTGCCGTGTGTATTGTTCTCCTGCCTCTGTTCACTTCACTTTAACTTTAACTGTTCATTTGCTTCTTTTACATTTAAAATAATCAGTTATTCTAAAGCTATTAAAATCTCAAAATCTGTAATCAAAAAAATTAATCATGAAATAGTGAGAAAAAGCTACTTTCTTCTTATGTTTCTGTGCTATGTGAAGCCCCAGAGTGCAGTGAAGTTCATAACCTGGAGTTTGTGAATTTGATTTTTAAAGTATTCTGATAAAAATCTATTTCAATATAATTTGTTTCTTTTGTAATCTGTTACATTTCTTTTTTATTCATGTAAAAACTTTATGATAACAAAAGGTACATGAGCTTCACCAGACTGCCGAAGGGGTTCAAGACACACAAAAAAAGTTAAGAACACTTGATATAGTGGAATGAGTGTGCTCTATTTAGCTTCAAAAGACCTTGGTTTGGATCCTAACTTTGTCACTGTCACCTTGGGCAACTCAAACCTAAATTTCTTATCTCATCTGTCAAATGGGAATGATGATAATACTACTATTTTGTAGGATTGTTGTAAGGACTGAATGAGGTGATGGAGGTAATAATGATAATGGTAACTAGCATTTGAATAGTGTTTTAAGATTTGCAAAACATTTTGCAAAATCTCATTGGAGTAAGTGATTAAATGAAAGGCAGAAGCACTTTGTAAACTATAAGGCTGTATGCAAATGTAAGGTAGTGCTACTATAAATTTTTGTCTTTGGCATACAGATCCCTACTGGAGTTGATAAGAAAAAAAAAACAAGATACTCAGACCTGCTAAACCATTAGGGCCCATCTGGCTATGGGGAATGAGGAGGAAAATCCTGTTGCTAGAATTAAAAAGATATATATTTTAGTTTTATATTTTGTAATGCAATTATGTTAGCCTGGAATAGTGGATAGAGGGCCAGCCTTTGCCTCAATAAGACATGTCCTTTTACTTCTAGGACACAGGTTCTTAACCAGGGTCCTTGGATAGATTTTGGCGGTTAGTCTATGAATTTGAATGGGAAAAAAATTGTTTTTATTTTCACTTCCTTCTAACTAGAACTTAGAATTTCCTTCAATTATTTAAAAATATTATTCTGAGAACAGGTTTATAAGTACCTCCAGAATTCCAGAGTTCATGACACCAAAAATATTAAAAAATGTTTGCACTAGAATGAAATACAAACTTCTGTTTGGCATTTAAAGCACTTCATGACCTAGATCTAACTCACATTTCTAGTTTTATTACATATCACTCCCTTCACTGTCCCCTTAGTCCAGCCAAACTGGATTTCTTACTGCTTCCCACACGAAACACTCCATCTTCCTGTCTATATTTCTTCACCGATCTTTCCCTTTACCTAGAATGTACTTCTCTCTTCCCTCTGTTTCTTAGAATCTCGAGTTTCCTTCAAATTCTACTTGTATGAAGTCATTCCTGATCCTCCCATCTGCTAATTCCTCCTCTTTGAATTACCTTGTCTTTATTTTGTATTTTTTTGTGTATACATGTATACACACAAATGTATACCTGTTATATATAATATATGTGTATATAGAAATAGATACTTTTTTAAAATTTTGTATGTGTTTTGTATGAGTATATATATATACACACAAATGTATACTGTTATTATACATATAACATACATACAAATAGAAATAAATACCTCTTATGTGTTTTTGGTATATACATACATACCTACATTTGTGTGTATACACATATACATATATACATATATATATGTATTTTAAAAATATACTCACAGTAACTTGCACATGTACCTATAAGGTTCTTGAAGTAGGGCCTGTTTCATTTTATATTTTTACCCTCAGTGACTAGCATAGAGTCTGCCACATTGTAGACCTTTAATAAATGCTTTTTGATGGATTAGTTGATTAATTGATATTAGTTGTATGATCATAAACAAGTCATTTTGCTTCCCAGTGTCCCAGGCAACTCTCTAAGACTATAAACTATAGACAATGGCTGCTCTGTTACGTAGATGGAGAGAGTTTTAATACTGGGAGTTCCCCATATTGTCAAAATCATAGGCTTCTCCCCCTCAAAAAAATTAATAAGTATTCATACAAAGAATTAAATGAATGAATAACAACATTAATAATCAGAATTTTTTTCCTTATTATTGATGTTGAGTACATGTTAAGCACAATGATTTTTTAATTAAATTTGTGCTATGGAGGATGTTAGGTGTCTGCAAAAGCAGGTCTTTCTGAATGTCAACACTCTTCAGTTCTTGGCCACTTTGTTAACACATATAAAAAGGTACTTTGATTTTATGTCCTAAAAGTGACTAAACATCTGACTGTTCATCTTTCTTAAGAGGACCTCCAAGGTCCCTTCTAGCTATAAATCAATGATTATAGGATATTGGTCCAAGGATAGAATAGGCAGCTGCTGTTCACCAAGGCTATGGGAAGAACTGTTTCTGCTTGTCCCACATGTCTGAGAACCCCTCAGGATCTCATAGTTTTGAACAAAGCAAGTCACTTATGATACTAATGGTGATGTTATTGCTATGCTGTCTTAGAGTTTACCTCTGGTGGTACAGGCAGAGGAGTGGATTTTCTTCCATCCTCTGTGCATATGCCTCTGTCTTTGTCCCGGATGTTTCATGGATTTGAATGATGGGGGATGGGAAGGGAGAACACAGGTGTTATGACTGTTCAATGTAGGCTCCTTCAGCTACTTTGTGTGTTATGATTTTAAATGAATAAGAAAGTTTGTTCTACTCACTACTTTTCATTTGAGTAAGGAAGCTGCCATGTAACTGTAAGTTTGAATATAATTATTGTCAAGGGGTAGGGGCACTAATTTAGCTATTGTGAAGAATATTGGAAGGGAATAAATATGAAGTCATCACACATTAGTACATCATAATTTTTAAAACACTGAATAAATTGTTCCTAATCTTTCACATTTTGCTGAAAGGATACTAAGATATCAGAAAGATCTTTGAGGGCTTTCCTAGGTTGGAAATAAGCATTTCCTGTTTCTTAATATTGTGATCATATATTTTAGCACTGCCAAGTCTATTCTTAAGAAATAAGTCCATTTCATGTACTTGACAAAATAATAGTTTTTATTTCTGATTACAGAGCAGTTTCTGAACATCATTTCATTGGAGGTTCATAACAGGTTGTGAAGTAGCTAGAGAGTGTGATTACTTTTATGATTTTAATTTTTGTTGATGGCTTTTATTTTTACATTATCTCCATTTCCAAATACATCCCTTCCTCCAATGTACTACCCAATGAGTGTAACAAAGAATAAAAAATGAAAAGAAAAGAGTAATTCAGCAAAACTGACACATTAACCAAATCTGATAAGGCATGCAATATTGCAAACTGATAGACCATCTCTGCAATGCAGAGAGGGAGAGATATGTTCACTCGTTGCTTTTCTAGAACTTTTTGGTCATTATCATCACACAGCATCGAGTTTTTGTTGTAATTCTTTCTGTTTATAGTGTTGATGGTTGTTGGGCATATATTGGTTTTCTGGTACACTCTTCATCAGTTCATTTAAATTTTCTGATACTTCTCCGTATTCTTCATATTCATTATTTCTTATGACACAGTAATATTCATATACCATAACTGTTTTTTTATTTTTTAGCTATTTCCTAATTGATGGACATCTATTTTATTTCCAATTCCTTGCTAACACAAATGAAACTCTGAAGAATGAAAATTTCAGTGTATTTTAGGACCTTCCTTTCTGCCTTTGGCCTTATGTCAAGCAGTAAAATCACTGGTCCAAAACTATGGATGTTTTGGCAACATTTTTCTTTTTATGAGTAATTTCAAATTGTTCTGTAGAATGGTTGGAACAGTTCACAAATCCACCCAAAGCATATTAGTGTATCTGTCTTTCCCCAGAACCTTCAACATCTTTCGCTATCTTTGCCAAATTGATAGATGTGAATAATTATGGGGATTGAAACCTCAGGGTTGTTTTGAATTGCATTTGTTATTAGTTATTTGGAGCAATACTTCATTTGGTTGTTAATAACATACACTGGGGAATGGCTCTTTTTCTTATACCATCATGTTAACTTCTTATAGGTTGTAGACATTAGACTTTTATCATATATATTTGATGTGGAGATTTTCCATCAGTTTACAGTTTCCCTCCTGAATCAGTTGCACTGATTTTGTTCATGCAAAAACCTTACAATTTCATTTAATTGAAATGATCTTTTTTCTCTGCTATTGTATCAGTTTCTTGTTTAGTTAAGAACTTTCCTAGTGATGCTGCCATTTATTATCTCAATTTTAAAAATATATGGGAAACAGAACTGCAACCTTCAAACCTGTTATGGC